ATTATTATTATTATTATTATTATTATTATTATTATTATTATTATTATTATTATTATTATTATTATTATATTAAGGAAAGAGGAACTGGTAAAACAGGTAGGAGGATCGGTGGAAATTAAAGTCAGTCCTTGAGAAAAAAAAATATTTGAGGCTGCAAAAAGACTTGACCTGGGCTTAAGTTTAAACTAATCTGAAAAGAAATAGTAAAAAAAAATATTTTCTATTATGCAAAGATAACTGAGACACTGAGACAAATACTCCAAAATGTTACTACTGAAAAAAAATACTAAGTAATGACAAAATGCAACTGCATACTAGATGTCTCTGCTTTGTATTCATTAAAATAAATTAAAACATATCATTTACTTCAAATGACAAATATACAGACAACTTTGTGTTTGATTATAAAATAATATCTATACAAAAGACATTGATTTCATATTTGGAGGCTGTTGAGGAGCTCTCCGATGCAAACAAGAAATTTGCATCTGTTGAGGTGTGGAATGATTGATTTGAAGATGGAAATTCTAGAAACATACAAAAACATATAAACACACAAAAAAAAAGCCAAAGAAAAATAGGCCCTGATACCAATAGTTACCAGGGAAAGAGCAACAATAAAAAACCAACAACCTTACCTGGACTGTAAACATCACCTCAACGATCAAAAGGGCACAAAAGTGCATCAACCTATCCTCATGACTTTCTACAGAAGCACCATAGAGAGCGCTCTGACCAGCTGTCCCACTGTCTGTTGTGGAGGCTGCAGCTCCTCAGACTGGAAGAGAAGTGAGAAGAGTGTTGAGAACAGCAGAGAGGATCATCGGGGCTCCTCTTCCCTTCATAAAAGACATTTTATCCCAGTGCTGCGTTTCCTGAGCCTGTAACATTATCAATGACCCCTCACACCCCCACCATGGACTGTTCTCCCTGCTGCCCTCTAGAAAAAGGCTTTGCGGCATTTAATGCAGGTAATAAAGTCTAAGTCTAAATCATATGAAGACCAGGTGAGTCCGACCAAAAGGAAAGGTTAAAAAGTCAGGGTCAGTTTCAAAATACAGCACAAAAATGTAATAACAGATCTGAAACCTCCATGAAATCCGGAAAAATATGAAAATATTTATATGGTAATATCAAGATATCTGTTATATGCTTATATCAAGGTTTTCAGTTATATGTCAAGGTTAGGACAGTTGAGATGTCTGTCAGGATCTATTACCAACAGATGAATGGTTTTGGAAATATGAAGAAAATATTTGGTGTGGTAATGGATCAGATGCTTGACAAGTCTCTACAAAACTGCTGAGATCTCTATCACAGCTCTCATTATAACCCATTATCTGCAGGTCGGAGCTTCTCTTTTTGTTCAAGGTAGCAGGATTGTAAGCACGTACACACATTTGAAAATATATTTGACGTGTTACGTAATAAATATAACCTTAAAGCTATGATACATGATTCATAAGCACTTACCATTTCTAGTTACATTCATATCAAAAGTAAGTATTCTCTACCAAAACAGCCATGTGTCTTTGCGTAGTCTGACCATGTCTATTTTAGTTGTATATTCTTCATGTCCTACTCTGCTGCCTCTTTCAGTCAGCTTTGTGAGGTCATTAAAGTTTATTTGCTTTCATACTTGGCTGACTTCAATGTTCTCCTGTTTTCAGATGCGGGCCTTAAACTGAGTTAGTTTTCTTTTTTTGGATCTTATCCCCCAAAGGCTGAAAAAATTGATTCTACTTGTAATAAATAGGAACCGGCTTCTGCAATAATTATGCATGTTCTGAACTTGTCTAAGTAGTTATCAGCACATTTGCCTTGCAGAAAGAAGGTACTGAACTCAAGTCACGGCCAGGGACTTTTTTTTTACATCAGCACATAACCTCTATAGGCATGTGGGTGGTCTATGTGCGTTTTAAATGAATTATCATTCTTTCAACTTTTATTTGTAAGATTTATGTTTTTTTTAAACATACGTTTTAGAGTAATGTTTCTTAATTGATCAATACTGTTTGGCACTCTTGAACACTGACTCTCAATATATTATATAAATCCTATATTTTTATTAGAAATGATTAACAATTGTTTATTAAAAATGTAAAACTTTGTATGAATTAAAACTTGTGTTTCTCACACAACATACAGTATTGTTATTTATCTCCATAAAGCTACAGGGTATTTTAAAACTCCATATGTATTGTTTTGTCTAAGAGTAGTCAAAAATCTTTGATTTATCTTCAATCTGAACAATTGTTGAGTGTGGAAATTTATTTCCCTTTTCAGATCTGTTGGGTAGGACAAGATGTTGTTATCCCAATAGATACCTAAGGCACTGACGAGGCACTGTGGCCATCAAGTGGGTGAGCGCATCCTTTGGGTTCTCAACCATCACGCGCTGGAGCCCCAGGCCAGGGCTTTCCTGCTGGTTCACAGCCACTGGCTCCCCTTTTCAGCGGCCCTTGAGAGGTCCTTGATTGTCTGCCTGTGGGCCTTCCCTCGCTCCGCCATCTCACTGAGTTGCCTAGATATTCAGGTGGCTATAAGTCCCCTGCAGCCTACTTCCACCTGGTGTACCTTCACGTTCCATCCTTGTTGTGGGGCATCTGCTGCAAGATTGGTGTATCTCACCTTCTTCCGCTCAAAGGGTTCCTCTAGGTCACCCACCCAGGGTACTGTGAGCTCAATGATGAACACCAGGTTGAGTGAGGGAAACCACATAATGAGGTCTGGACGCAGGTTGGTGGATGCAATTTCCAGTGGAAAGAAGGTTAAGGCCCACATTCCATTACTTGACTCAGAGATACTAATTCATGGTTTTATTACATCTTGTTCAGATTACTGTAGATATTTTCACTCTGGTCTTGACCTGTAGTCACTTTGGCGTCTGCAAGATCTTCAGAAATGAGCTGCCACTCCTTTAACAGGCAAGCTGCAATGTTCTGTTGGTGCAAGCTTGCTACGTATATTTTATATGATATATGACTTTATTTATTTTGTGTACTTTATTAATTTTTCATCGGATATAGCAACACAAAGTTGTGGATAACTGTGACATTGAAGGAATTTGGACTTTTGCCAAGTCAGCATCATCTGCATCATTAAAAAGGCAGGTTTAACTGTGCAAATGAAATGTTTGGTTTCATTATTTCCTTTACAAAGAGAAGATTTTTCTGGTATTATAACTTTACTCCTATTTATTTGTGTGGAACCTTTTTTTCTTAAAACTTTTTGTTATATATATATATATATATATATATATTATTATTATTATTTTTATGAAAGTAGTCTAACCGATCACCGATATGTGCGGCCAATATATTCGGATCGATTCTTGAAACAGATGCACCTTTTCCTTCCTCCATTTACATACAAATAAGTACACATAGATAAAAAAACAAGTTACAAAAAAAGTTAAGTCTCAACTTAAACAACAACAGAAAAAACATAAACAAATCAAACAAAACAGCAACACATAACAAAAGGAGGGAAGGCAAATGTATGCACAACACATGCAGGTATTGTATGATGCCAATAAAAGAGAAAAAAATGCTAATATAATCCAAAAACATTTTATGCTTATATGACTTTTGTTACTCCTAAGAATCGGATAATTTGCCATGAGGGGTAGATTTGGCCAACGGGCCTTGAGTTTCACACGTGATCTAAAACACCCTGTTGTAGCTCTGTCTGGATGTTTAGATTTTCCTAGCCTATATCCAGATTTAGTTTCCTTTTTCTCACCCCATTAACTCTGACCAATATAATTTTTTGCTGAGGAGCGGACATTAGCCTCTTCAGACCTGCGAATTGACTGCCCACACACAAACAGACACGTGCATGTTGTAAATCTCTGTGGGATAGTACACCTTTGGGTCACTTGCAACCTTCCATGAATAAAGGGAGTCCTTGAGGGCCAGACGCCTCCCACCAAACTGTTGCCTTAGGTGGGAGTCACAGCATGGCCAGCTGCTGTTGTCTGGGATCACAGGGAGCATTTCTCAACCGATGAGTGATTTACTGAATTAATACCCATGCCGAGTAGGTTCACGGGAGGAAGCTTCCAAAAATGTATTTCAACACATTCACATTGAGAGAAGTAATTCCTCCTGTTGGCAGATGGTTATTTTTTTTCGTGCTTTGCAGGGAAATGGAAAAAGTAGCAGACATAAGGCCAATGCAAAAGAAAATCCAGATTCAGATAATCCAGGTCCAGAAAGATAAAAACCCTGCCTCGTTTCCCTTCATCCTGTTCATTTAATCAGGTGATTAGCCCCTCAGGTGATTAGTCTAGAGCTGGAATTTCAAAAGGTTGGAACTGATTTTTGTACAGGCATTTTACTACTATTCTACTGGACTTGGATTGGAGTTGATTAAATCAATACAATATAAAACAACAGGATATTAATGGGAGCTGTTAACTTGTTGCTGTAAGCTGTAAACTGTTGATAATATTAAGTCAAAATACAGGAAAAAGTTCTTGTTGAAAATTTTCAGTTTGTTTTTTCTTTTTTATTGAAATATTAAGGAACTGATAATATTTTTTATTGTTGTATCAGATAAGTCAAGTATCATTACTCAGATCTGTCCAATGAGTCACAATGATGGCTCTCAGCCGTAGATGAGACCACAGGAGATCCTTTTGAAAAGCTTGCTGCCCTTTAATAGAGCCCTCTCCTGTTTATTCAGCGTAGATGTGAGCTGTAGTAAAGTTTAATCCTAATCCATCTGCATCTTGTTTTGAGTGAGTGATTACAGTAGCCTCTTCAAGACGCCTGGCTCTGATATTCCCCAGATCTTTAGCTGATGCATGACTCTATAACAGAATCGCACATTTACAGCCACCTAACCTGCAGAAGAAGTACAGATCATTTATTTTTTATCAAAGCTTTTCTTCTAGATTCAACAGTGCAGCTGGAGAGCTTTTAACAAAAGGAAGATACAAAAAACCAGAGGAAGTGACGGGAGGTAATGAATGAGGGGTGACTATCGCAGGTGAGTTTCCTTTATGTCATGTTTACTGTTTAAAGAATAAAAAATAGAAATAATGTTTCTTAAATAATGATGACAACTCCACATTAAATTGCAACATTTATCTTCTGTTTAGACATTTCATTCAACAGCTGTTTATTGAGTTGGAATCAAAAAATGGTAGAAAATCAGCTACTTTGTATGTAGATATTTTATTACTTAACCATTTCCAGGTTGCAGAACACAAGGTCACATATCTCAGACTCACTCACATTGTTTCTTAGTGGGAAAGCAGCAAAGGGTCATGGGATGTGGCATGGGAAAGCCCAGAATCCAGCAGAAGAAATGTAACAGAGGTGCATAGTATTTCTTTTGTTTTATTTTATTTTTTTTTATTTATGCACATATAAATAATTATTTTTTTTATTGCAAATCCTCAGTCCCTGTTTTTTTTTTTTTTTTTTTTTTTTTTTTTTTTCCAGTGAGCTTCTCAGTTCCAGGTAACTTTACAAAGCTTTACATAAACTTTAACAGTTAAAATCCTTGCTTAGACCTATTAATTTGTTTTTAACTGCTATAATCTTAACCCATATTTCATGCACTCTGGAAAGCTGCCACAGGTAAGTCATTTTCTAGCCAGGATTGTATTTCCTGCTTTCTGTTATGTTTTATTACTCCAGGTCAAAGTGTTCCTGAGTTGTAGAAAGAAAACACTTCTTGGCCCTTGAAGGCCCTTTTTAAGCCTGTGGGCTCAGATATCCTAAACACCCATTTGGACAAGAATTTCCTCTTGGATGAATTTCTATGAAACCCTGCCATTAAGTAAAGTTTCTAAATGTTTTCCTCTCTCTGTTTCTCAGCAATAAGAGCAGCTCTGTTGATCCAGCGCTGGTACAGACAGTATGTTGCTCGTCTGGAGATGAGACGCAGGTGCACATGGAACATCTTCCAGTCTATAGAATATGCAGGGGAGCAAGATCAAATAAAGGTGGGGTGTACATTTTGCACAGATATTGTTCTGAAATGGATGTAAGAAAAATATCCACACAACAGAAAAAACTCACTTCTGTTGATTTTTTTTCTTAGATCACTTTGTCTGCAGTTTTTTAATAAAATGAATTTGGTAAACAACACAGATTATAGTATAATTGTGCAGTAAAAGAAAGATTTTTATGAATTTCAAAACATTTTGAAGTTAAAGAATCTCAAAACGTGGCCAACATTTTCATTAAGTTTCTTTTTTTTGTATACCACCAAATAAACAGATAGATAAATGAAAATACAGCACAATCCTGTTATCTTACATCTTAACCCTCCACTGGAAAAATCATTTAGTGTATTTGGCTTTACAGTGGTGTACTGTTTAGTGTAAAGCCCTTTGGAGTATTCTGACTTTATAAAGCATAATATAAGTAAAGACCATTTAAACCATTCAAAAGGAGTAACCCCAAGTTAGAAATGGTTGCTAGTAACTACAGTTAATTGGTATCTTTTCAATTAACACATTACAGATGGGAGAAAAAGCGTATCAGGCTTCAGCATTAACTAAAGTTGAGGTGTTGATGTATGAAAATCAATGTTTCTATTCAATTATTAAGATAAAAATATTATAAAATTAAAATAAAAAAATTAAAAATAAAAATGTTGCTCTCATAAGACACTTTAGCCTTTGCCCAAACTTGAAGAGGGTTTCTCTCTCCAAAGAGACAGGAACAACTCAGCTCAGTCAAATATATTCATATGTTCTTATCTTTAGATGGATCTCACCTCAGAGCAATATGTTTAGGACATAAGTAGGTTAATAATCTACACACATATGAGATAAACATTAAACATTAGAAACAACAAATTCAATCGACTTTGAATATTTAACAAAGTTTTTAAACCGTGTTTTCCAAATTTACCTTTAGGTTGACAGTGAATGAAAACATTAAAAAAATGATGCTGCAAGCCATGCATACTTCTATGTATTCAAACACAAACATTACATTAAACAATAAGCAAACTGTTTGTGCTTGAATTAAATGTGAATCATGTAAACTTAGATTGTCTGTTTCCGTTTGGAGAAGCTTTCACCTGAAGTTGGTTCTCTGAATAGAGTTCAGCACGGTGAGCATGGGTGAACCTTATAGATTTGCCTGCTGAAATTGAGCAGCAATACAGATGAGTGTTCCTGATTCTCTGTAAAGCACACTCCAAATGTGTGAAGATGGTCAAACTAATTAAGCCTGACAGATGTGTTGGTTTGACTTGACGTGCTCTTTGAAAATGATCGAGGAGAATTTCCAAAAGGGAGCGTTCTTGTGGCCTTGCTGCTGGTTTGAATGTATCAAACAGCCTCTTAGTGCCACTATTTATTGGGTCAGTAATGAACTGTTGAATCTCTTGAGAACAAAATATGTTGTATCTGTTTTTATTGGAGGGTTGATGCAACTCAACTGTGTGTGATTGTTTACCATAAACTCTTTTTATATCAAAGTCAGTTTGAAATTATTTCTCTTCTCACAGCTGTACAACTTTTTTGCCTTCCTAATGGACCACTTCACTCCAGCCAGCAGTGAAAGTACGACATTATTCCTCAGAGATTTAGACTGGCTCTCTTATTTCCTCCTTACTGTTGATCTACCTCCTTTTGAATTCCTCTCTGTCTCTAATCAAGGAAACCTTATATCTCACATCTTTCGTGAGAATGAGATCTGCCACGATGCAGACTGGGAACGATATTTTTGCTACAAAGGCATCGAGGTGCCCGACAGCTACAGTGGCCCCCACCTAACCTTCCCCATGACATTTTGTGGGTTGTCAAAGCTAATGGAGGCTTTTAAGCATAAACAAGTAGGTATACTGGTACACAAGGAACCCGGATAGTAGATAAAATAAAAAATAAAAAAACCCAAATGAGAAAAGAAGATCATCATAGTCATTTACAATATTTGTTCTGTGTATTTTTTCATGTTTTTTTTCCTAGTAGCAGCTCCATGCTCGTTATGTTCTTCAGATTCTTGGAGAAACTTGGAGATTTTTACGAATCCTTCCAAACATCAATCATGTCTCCGTCTGCCCAACCAAGGAGATTACAATATGTGGTAAACCAAAGTGGTCCTTTATAGATATTTCACTAATATTTTATCATATGCAAAAATGTGGTATTTTGTTATAACAGGAGATCTGCACGGGCAGCTAGAAGATCTGCTGTTGATATTTTATAAGGTAAATAAACATAACGAAGGTCCTCATATTGTCATTCTGGATGCCCAGTTTATAGTCTTTGTTTTTTCATCCAGAATGGTTTACCATCATGTGAGAAACCCTACATCTTCAATGGAGACTTTGTGGATCGGGGCAAGAATTCCTTAGAGATTCTGCTTATCCTGTTCGGGTTCCTACTTGTTTACCCCAATGATGTGCATTTGAACAGAGGGAACCACGAAGATCACATCGTTAATCTGAGGTAAAATCTTCACTTTAGCCTCTAATTCTATTCTCATTCCTTTTTACAACACAGAGTGCTAATCTGGTAACACAGGTGGATCTATAGTTGATGTCAGACTGCATCATAAACACCCATAAGCATCCTTTTCAGGCATAAAGTTGTAAAGCATTTTAGGGCCAGGTTGTTTCTTAAAGTGATATCCTAATTTTTGCTGTCTCATCAAGAACTATTCAATCTGTCATCTAAGATACTTAATAAATAAGGCACAAATATAACCCCAACTATCTGGATTGTCATAATTGGTTTAAGCGATCTGACCCACATGCAGAGAACCACTCAGAGACCAAGGCAAAAAGTTTAACAGGTTTATTGAATGTTGATGAAACACAGAAGTA